CCCTTATATATACCACATAATCTCAACTTTAAGGAATAAAAAAATATTGTAAAACAGATATAATACCTAGCTAGTAGAACAGGGGTATTTAAAGAAATGTTTATAGAAAACTCTTAAATTTAGAAGATAAATCTTCTTTTTAAAAAAATTTTTTTTATTGAATTAATAATAGAAAAAAAAAATACTCTGTCAAAAACAACTGTTAAATCAGACTTAATCAGGAGAATTCTAGATAATTAAGAAATAAACTTATAGAATATCTCTTATGAAAGAATAGAGGAAGAACGTGTTATAAAACTAGAGAAAGCAGGAAGGTTAGTAATATACATGAGAATGGAATTTTTTATAGTCAGACTCCAATTCTTTTTACACCAATGTAATTCTGAAATAATAAAAGATGTGTCCACTTTCTAAGATGGAACAATAACTTGATTCTAGTGAACATCTAGAGGGAACTTATAGATCAACTTAAAGAGACCTACGAGATTGGAATGGACTCCTAACTCGTGAGCAAGGTAAATTGTCTTGATAAATCATAAAAAAAAATTTATCATACACTGAAAGATGTCTTGATGGAAAATAAAGAACATACTCAACTTCCCTATTATAACCAATACATAAGATGCGAGTAAAAAGCATATTTTCCAAAATTAAAATAAGACTAGACAAGAGATTGTTAAGTTACTAGAAGAGATTAATAAAATTAATTAAAACAATTAACTGGCAGGAATGTTGAATGACTTTCAGTTTGAGAAAGATGAAAAGAAGATTTAGGAGCCGAAATAGATTATTTTAGCTAAAGAAAATTAGATACAAATATTTGAGATTTCTAACTAAGAAAAACTTCAAAACAAAACAAAGTAAATGAACTCGATATGGAAATTATAGTAGATAGAAGATTTTTCATTTCTGTAAGATTATGTCAAAAATAACAAAATTTCTATTAACCCTATGATGTCCAATATTGGAGAATTAGGATATCTAATTCTGCAAATAGAGTTTTTAAAGATCCTAAAAATATTTTAATTAAATTCAATAGGTAAGATATGACTTCTTCATAAACTACAATATTAATACATATAAAGCGGAATTTTCCTTGGATGAAGGAGAAATGTTCTAAGTAGCATAGTAAAATGAAGAGACAATTAATTGAAAGAATTTTTGAAAATTTCCTAACTTTTGTTTAGGGAATATTTATTAGAAGTCAGAACTGAAGATAGTTTAATAATGGTGGTTCTACATGGATTAATAAATCATAGTGTGTAAAGACTTGAAGGGTCTCTGTAACATTATTTCTTCAATTCCCTTCCACGTTGTTAGTAACTTATTAAGGTGGTCTAAGCCTCTGTACTTTCGAACTTGCAGAAGGTCTTTATTGTGTAGTAAAGTTCACTCTTTACTAATGATCTATATGTAGAGTTCACATATGGAAACGGTTATGAAGTGTATGCAATAATTAATCACTCTCCTAAGATTTATGATATTAGATATGCTGAGAGTGGATTGGAGAGCTATTAATAATATGGTCTCAGAGCGATGGAGAATGTACCAAAGTTGTGCAGTTATGTTTCTGGTGGTTTTGAACTATGTAAATTCTGCGTTAATTGCGGTTTTTAGGAGAGGATATTCCAAATGAAATATTATATAAAAATAATTTATCAATCCCTCAGCAACCAATTGTAAACATTGTTAAAATTGATGAAGCATGCCTTAATTAAATCATCTAATTTGATCAGATTGATATATATATTTGAAATAGGATAATAGTTGTTGTTATAGTAAGAACGATTGTAGAAATTTTAAGCTAATAGATCAATATTTTTATCTTCAAATTGAACACAATGTCGTTTTCTTTCTTTTGTTAATTTACATCAGCTTAAGTGCTTTATCTGATTAAACCAGTAAAATTTGGGTTCAAATATGAGTATTGTAAATCACTTAGTGAGCTCAAACAATATAATTGCAAAATTGGAGAGAAAACAATATTAATATTTCATTAATTCCCATAATCTGTAGGATGCTTTTTATGAAAGTATAATTAGAGTTAATTTTTGGTTTGCTTTCCATGAAAAGTCTATAAAAACTTGCTTGCTTCTCAATAATCAAGTTTTTAACTTTAAAAATGAAGTATTAATAGAATAATCTTATGCCTAGCTATTAAGAGATTACAGAGATGAACATTTTGAATTCACTTTTTTTTTCAACAAATCATATGGATTATGATATGAGGTGTTTGTTTTTATTTATTTATTTTAATATAGAACAATAATCAGGCTCTCTTTTTTAATAGTTCATTGTTTGATAACAAAATCAAATCTAATTAAAAGAAAACTGGTGTATATATTTGTTTTCGTCTCAATTAAGCTAAATGTGATATAATATAAAACACTAAACTAGTATAAAAATACAGTGCTAGGTCGTATAAATTAATCATATATGGTTAGTGCGAATACAAAATATATAGCCTCAAAATGAAATGCATTGAGTCTGAAATTTTCATAACACCATTTTTTCTTTTTAAGATATTCTTTCTTAATATTTTGTAGGAAAAAATAAGTTACAATTTCCTGAAATAAGCCATACTGTTATCTCAAAAATTATTTTTTAAAATATAGGAAATAGAGACAGGCGTTGTATTTTGTAACTTCCTGAAAGCTCATAATTAATTGAGAGGACCTATTCTTCTTTAAATTGAACAAAATTATTATTCTTACATTTCCCAAATATGCCATATGTAAAATATTCTACACGAATGAAAAATTATAATGCAATTAGGTTATGCCAATTTATAGTTCACCTGCCTATACGTTAGTGTTTTTATACTTACATAAAGGGAAATTCTATCTATTTTATAGTAAATCAAACATTACTCCATTTTAGATAGAAATTAAATTACAACCCAAATGCAGTATACGATTTATTTAATATTTTTGTGAATCTTTTCTTTATTATGTAATTCGTTTTTTTGCAAATTTAAAAATTTTCTCTTAGACTTCTAAGTATCTTGATTATATAAATTAATTTCTTTGAAATAGAGCACTATATCAGATATTGAAACAATAGAAATTAAAAATGTTTAATTATTCTTAAGATTCTTTATATCAATTTTGGTTATGGCTTTGTAAAAATTAATTGACAATTGGTGAACTTATTATATTAAATACCCCTTGATTTATTTGTAACTTATTAAATTTGCCATTTATTCATTATAATTGGACTCTAATTTATAATTATTATTTAATAGTTCTCAGTACACCAAATCATATTACTAACTTTTACAATACTTACAATTAATTTATTTTCTTTTGGAAATTGCAAAATTTTGATTTCTTTTGTCATTTAACTCCTCCTATATAAATTAATCAATTTGATAGTGACGATTCAAATAATCATCATTTATTGAAAAAGTAAAATAGTCTTTTACAAAAAAATGACAAATAGAAATTATTTCATAAATTTTCATTATTCTTGTAATCACCTTTTATGACCAATAAAATTTAAAATATATTTTCTTTCTTTTTGATTCGAAAATATTGAAAATAAATATATAAATATAAAGAAAAACATGTCTATTTATTAAGCATTTTAATATTTATTAAATTTTACTATAAATAAATCTAGCCTAATTATATAATAAATCCAACATAGATTAATAAACAATAAATAAAAATTTCATTTACAATTATTGTAGATAGTTTCGATTATTTGGTATATAGATAGGAATAAATATGTAGGAAAATTAGATCAATTAAAAAAGTAAAATTTGTTGAACCAACAATGCAAACACTAAAAAAATAACATTTTCTAGTCTAGATAGTAGTATTTAATTATTTATTTATGAATTTGTTTCACTTGAATTAGTTATGGAATTCAAGTGAGAGTATACATTCTTTCGTCTTCTTAACACAGCCTAAAACTTTCTATTATGATTTTGAATGAGCAAAACATATAGTTTTATTATGATTGAAATCCTATTTTCTGTTATAAATAAATTGAACATTCATTATAAATAAAAGCTTTATGTTTAGAATCATCAAATTTTGTACCTGAAAATAAGAACTTGTTAAATATGGTGAAAAGAGAGCATCTCCAACTTAGCAAAGGGGTAATATCATTACTGGATTTTGCTTTGAGACAACTGAGCATGAAAATGCATTAGCTTTGAAATGAACTTCCAAAATTAATGTATAATTTTTATTAAAATCTTTTTTAAGCATCATCTTAGATTATGATTCGTCTCTAAGATAACTGATTTGAATCATTATAAAATAAATATATTAGAAATAATTAATATAAATAATAAAAATGGGATAGTAAGGAAATTTAAAGTTAAAATGTTAACAATATGATCATAAGGATGAGATAGAAACGATTTGTTACAATTAATTTTGTCAAGATTTCAGATTNAATTGGTGAACTTATTATATTAAATACCCCTTGATTTATTTGTAACTTATTAAATTTGCCATTTATTCATTATAATTGGACTCTAATTTATAATTATTATTTAATAGTTCTCAGTACACCAAATCATATTACTAACTTTTACAATACTTACAATTAATTTATTTTCTTTTGGAAATTGCAAAATTTTGATTTCTTTTGTCATTTAACTCCTCCTATATAAATTAATCAATTTGATAGTGACGATTCAAATAATCATCATTTATTGAAAAAGTAAAATAGTCTTTTACAAAAAAATGACAAATAGAAATTATTTCATAAATTTTCATTATTCTTGTAATCACCTTTTATGACCAATAAAATTTAAAATATATTTTCTTTCTTTTTGATTCGAAAATATTGAAAATAAATATATAAATATAAAGAAAAACATGTCTATTTATTAAGCATTTTAATATTTATTAAATTTTACTATAAATAAATCTAGCCTAATTATATAATAAATCCAACATAGATTAATAAACAATAAATAAAAATTTCATTTACAATTATTGTAGATAGTTTCGATTATTTGGTATATAGATAGGAATAAATATGTAGGAAAATTAGATCAATTAAAAAAGTAAAATTTGTTGAACCAACAATGCAAACACTAAAAAAATAACATTTTCTAGTCTAGATAGTAGTATTTAATTATTTATTTATGAATTTGTTTCACTTGAATTAGTTATGGAATTCAAGTGAGAGTATACATTCTTTCGTCTTCTTAACACAGCCTAAAACTTTCTATTATGATTTTGAATGAGCAAAACATATAGTTTTATTAAATAAATTGAACATTCATTATAAATAAAAGCTTTATGTTTAGAATCATCAAATTTTGTACCTGAAAATAAGAACTTGTTAAATATGGTGAAAAGAGAGCATCTCCAACTTAGCAAAGGGGTAATATCATTACTGGATTTTGCTTTGAGACAACTGAGCATGAAAATGCATTAGCTTTGAAATGAACTTCCAAAATTAATGTATAATTTTTATTAAAATCTTTTTTAAGCATCATCTTAGATTATGATTCGTCTCTAAGATAACTGATTTGAATCATTATAAAATAAATATATTAGAAATAATTAATATAAATAATAAAAATGGGATAGTAAGGAAATTTAAAGTTAAAATGTTAACAATATGATCATAAGGATGAGATAGAAACGATTTGTTACAATTAATTTTGTCAAGATTTCAGATTAAATTGCTTTAAATGTGATAAGAGAAGAACCCATCATGATCATATCAATGATGTTGAAAAAATCAATAGTTTGATCGGATTTATTGAAAATAGAAATAAAGAATGTGATAATTTGATTGATAATCTTGATAAATATGTAGAAAGTCTGAACCAATCATTCTCTTAACTAAAAAGAGGAATCAAATTGAAATATTCATTACAAAAAGAAAGGTTAATAAATTTAAACTCATAGTAATTAAATGATTATTTGAATTCAACCATCAAATTTATGGAGTATAAACATTCAATTACAACAATTATATCTGATTAGGCCAAGAAATTAAATCATACATTTAATAATATATATGAACAATTATAATTATTGTCATTAAATTATTATTAGATTGATGATAATTCAATAAAATAATCTGAAAAATTATATGATAAAGGTGAATGTGTATTTTAATATTTAGGTTATGATTTATATTAAAAATATAAATATACAGAAGCTATTGATATTTTAGATATGTCAATACAACAAAATCCTAAGAATTATAAATCTCAAGGGTGCAAAGGTGAATATTCTAGAAAATTAATAGGTGCGTGTTTAATGATGTTAAATAAATTTGAGGATGCAATCAATTGGTTTGATCAAGCATTAGCCATTGATCCTAAAAATGTGTTTTCCTTAGGAAACAAAGGTTAATGCTTAAGAATGTAAAATAAATATGACGATGCAATCAATTGGTTGGATCAAGCATTAGCCATTGATCCTAAAGATGTGATTTCCTTAGCAAACAAAGGTTAATTGAGTCATAATTAAATTAATAGGAATTTGTTTATAGAGGTAAAATAAATATGACGATGCAATCAATTGGTTGGATCAAGCATTAGCCATTGATCCTAAAAATGTGTTTTCCTTAGCAAACAAAGGTTAATGCTTAAGAATGTAAAATAAATATGACGATGCAATCAATTGGTTGGATCAAGCATTAGCCATTGATCCTAAAAATGTGATTTCCTTAGCAAACAAAGGTTAATTGAGTCATAATTAAATTAATAGGAGAATGCTTAAGAATGTAAAATAAATATGACGATGCAATCAATTGGTTGGATCAAGCATTAGCCATTGATCCTAAAGATGTGATTTCCTTAGCAAACAAAGGTTAATTGAGTCATAATTAAATTAATAGGAATTTGTTTAAGAATGTTAAATAAATATGAGGATGCAATCAATTGGTTGGATCAAGCATTAGCCATTGATCCAAAGGATGCATTTTCCTTAAGAAACAAAGGTTAATTGAGTCATAATTAAATTAATAGGAGAATGTTTAAGAATGTAAAATTAATATGAGGATGCAATCAATTGGTTGGATCAAGCATTAGCCATTGATCCTAAAGATGTGTTTTCCTTAAATAGCAAAAGTAAATTTAATCTTGATACATTTATAGGCAAATGTTTAGGAATATTGAAATAATATAAGGAGTCTTTCTAATTTATGGATTAAACAAACTTTATTGATACTCAACCTATTCACTCAAAAGGTCAAATATTCATAATTTTTAGGAGATAATTTAGCAGATTAATTAAAATAGAAAAAAGCTTTAATTCATTGTGAACAACCTTTATCGAAAAATCCAAATGATCTATAATAATAGGGTAATTTCAAATAATTACTAAATTAGAATTTCCCTTTTAAAATTGAATCAATGAATAATTGATATTTAAAATTGTTATGGTTATTTTATCAAAATTGAATTTCTATATATTTTTAACTTCTTTTAATCATATCTGTATTTAAGCCTGAATTTTCATAAATTTAGCCTTTTTAGTTCCATTTTAATTTCAAAGCAACCCCAAAATTTAGGTCAATGTTTAATATTTCAAACTATTTGTCAACTTCTCAATTATCTAAATTTATCTATAATTTTTTTATCTATTTGTTTCCTAATCACAATATTTCATACTCGTCATTTATGATATATTATTTTTTATTAGCCTCAATGAGATTTACTTCTAGAAATAACATTTCCTCAAGTTAAAATTATATATGCAACGAAACTTGATAAAAATTATTTTAATTTATTTAAATAATATAATCTAATTTTAAACTTAATCTTGATGTCATTTATTTATTTATCAAATCATTTGCTTTTTATATAAAATCAAATTTAAAATTGAATACATAAAAGCGAATCCATTTAATCCTTTATTAAATATTTTTTGGATTAATGTTTTCGATTAGTTTAAATCAAGATGCCATTTTTGCTGCTTGAATGATTGATACTATACGATTAGAATTCATATGATGAATTTATATTTTTTTATAATGGGTCAATGATTTTGGTTAGGTTTTGGATTGTTTTATCTATTTTCCAATCGTTATAACTAACAATATTCTGATTACATTATCCTCAAACGACATCACAATTACTAAATATATTATACAATATTACCATAAATTATTTAATTATAATTAAAAGATATTATTCAAATTTATGCAATACAAACCATAATTTTCAATATTGCTCGAGTGATATAAATAATAATGATTTTAGATTTTCTCGTTATGGCTAATTTTATTTTGTTTAGAATTTGACATTATCTTTATATATCCTGATATAGTTTCTTTATGAATCTCAAATTAAATTAAGTCTTAACATTACTGTGCTACACATAGAAGCTGAATTTCCTAATGCATTTTTATAATCAAGCATTTAAACTTCTGGCTGACTCAAATGACTTTTTTCTCATTTCATGCAATAAGGTTCAGAATGTAGTTATCTTTCAGGAATCCAAGGGAAATTCTCAAAAAAATAATCCTCTTAAATATTTTTTGCAAACTCTTCAGTGCTTATTGCCCTTATACACCAAAGGTTTGATGACTTCTCAGTCCTCAGTAATTTTCTCTATGCAGATTTAAAACTCTTTTCAACTGCTCCGCATAGAAGATGAATTCTTATATATACAACTCTTCAGAAAAATATATATTGAGAAAGTTTTCTATTTAAATAGTTTGATTTTAGATTTTAACTCACTGATGTATTGTATATGAATTATTTCTCAGATAACTAAATTGATTCTTCCAATAATTAATAATTTGGTGCCCAAAAAATTATTAAAGAAGGAGAATATGATCTGCACACTGAAAGATATTTATATACTCAATCAAAAATAACAATATTATTTTATTAATTGAAAAAGTGATTAGGTAATATATTTCTTTGATTATATGAACTATTTATTTATTCATTGATTCTATATCTACTAGCAAAATTCTAATAAAGTAATAATTAGAAATTACCCTGTTGATATTGTGATTATAAATCATTTGAATTTTTCGTTGAAGATTGTTCACAATGAATTAAAGCTTTTTTCTATTTTAATTAATCTGCTAAATCATCTCCTAAAAATTATGATTATTTGACCTTTTGAGTGAATAGCTTGAGTATCAATAACGTTTGTTTAATCCAAAAATTAGAAAGACTCCGAATATTATTTCAAAATTCTTAAACATTTGCCTATAAATGTATCAAGATTCAATTTACTTTTGCTATTTAAGGAAAACACATCTTTGGGATCAATGGCTAATGCTTGATCCAACCAATTGATTGCATCGTCATATTAATTTTACATTCTTAAACATTCTCCTATTAATTTAATTATGATTCAATTTACCTTTTTTTCTTAAGGAAAAAAAATCCTTTGGATTAATAGCTAATGCTTGATCCAGCTAATTGATTGCATCCTCATATTTATTTAACATTCTTAAACATTCTCCTATTAATTTAATTATGACTCAATTAACCTTTGTTTCTTAAGGAAAAAACATCCTTTGGATCAATGGCTAATGCTTGATCCAGCAAATTGATTGCACCCTCATAATTATTTAACATCATTAAACACGCACCTATTAATTTAATTATGGTTCAATTTACCTTTGTTTCTTAAGGAAAACACATTTTTAGGATCAATGGCTAATGCTTGATCCAACCAATTGATTGCATCCTCATATTTATTTAACATCATTAAACACGCACCTATTAATTTTCTAGAATATTCACCTTTGCACCCTTGAGATTTATAATTCTTAGGATTTTGTTGTATTGAAATATCTAAAATATCAATAGCTTCTGTATATTTATATTTTTAATATAAATCATAACCTAAATATTAAAATACGCATTCACCTTTATCATATAATTTTTCAGATTATTTTATTGAATTATCATCAATCTAATAATAATTTAATGACAATAATTATAATTGTTCATATATATTATTAAATGTATGATTTAATTTCTTAGCCTAATCAGATATAATTGTTGTAATTGAATGTTTATACTCCATAAATTTGATGGTTGAATTCAAATAATCATTTAATTACTATGAGTTTAAATTTATTAACCTTTCTTTTTGTAATGAATATTTCAATTTGATTCCTCTTTTTAGTTAAGAGAATGATTGGTTCAGACTTTCTACATATTTATCAAGATTATCAATCAAATTATCACATTCTTTATTTCTATTTTCAATAAATCCAATCAAACTATTGATTTTTTCAACATCATTAATATGATCATGATGGGTTCTTCTCTTATCACATTTAAAGCAATTTAATCTGAAATCTTGGCAAAATTAATTGTAACAAATCGTTTCTATCTCATCCTTATGATCATATTGTTAACATTTTAACTTTAAATTCCCTTGCTATCCCATTTTTATTATTTATATTAATTATTTCTAATATATATTCATTTATGTGCTGATATTAATTACACAGACATTATAATAATATGGATATCTATACTTTTCGGATTGTTTTAGAACTGTTAATTACTTTTTTAATATTCTTTTTATTATGATCGCTAATTATATAATATTTTACAAACAAAAGGGAAATTAATTTACTTTTAATATCTATATTATTTGTTGCTCTTGAAACTCACAAAAAGCACATTTGATATAATAGATTGTGAATCTTACAATTTAACATCCTAACTTATTGATATTTTCTAGTAGGATCAAATTGAAAAACTTAATTTCGATTTCCAGCAATTAGTTGTAGATTTCTAGGTTTTATAAAATATTATTCAGAACTAATTGAATATTTAATCTGCATAAAAAAGCACTATCTCTCGATCAATTTCGGCCCAAAGTCTTAATCTGGTATTTGAAACATTTTCCTTTCAATTCTAGACCCTCTTGTTTTTTAGATTATCGAATATCATTCAATCTGATTGAAAAAGGAGAACTTCTATAAGTATTATAATTTATCAAAAATCATTTTTATTAAGATATTTGCTGCAATTAATTAAGTACAATTTTAGAAGAGTTTAAATTTTTTTTGTGTCAATTCGATTTAATATAATTAAAATTCTGTTATGATGTTATAATAAATCATAAACAATAGTGGTCATTTATTTTACAATTATGATTTTGACCCAACAAAGATTATTTTAGTTTTATTAAATTTGAATAAATTTCAATTAAGCTAATTCAGAATAAAAAATAAAAGTTGGTGTATGGGATGCTTCATGAAAAGGATAAGATAAAGGAATATGATAGAAGTCTGATTCAAGTGAAAAAAATTGGAAGGTGGATAGAAATATAAATGAGATATTTTCATTACTATAACTACCATTTTCTACGTTTAAATTCTTTTTTTAAACTTAAGCATAAAATTAGAATCTTGAAGTTGAAAGTATGAATTTATTTATTTTTTTGTTCTAAATGTGTAAAGTAATATTCTACTTCATTACTTCTTTTATTAGATTTCAGAATGTTCAAATAATCAGGTAAAGTAATATATATTCAGTATAAAGATTAGCAGGAATATAAGGAAGATCTTCCTTTTAATTCCACAATCGAGAAGTGATTTATTAGATATAATTACACAATAGTTATAAATTATCATAATTTGATTTTATATTAAATGAATACCTTTTCCAACAACTCCATATGATAGTTTGAAATTGTAGAATTAATTTAATATGAGATGTAAAATTCAACTATAAATAAAGGGATCTCATTTGATGTAAATAAAGAATAATGAATAATTAAAAAAATTTTAGAAAATTTATGTTATAGTTATCCAAATTATAAGTTCTAATATTGAACCTCTGTTTACATAATAGCCTAAATTTTGATAACAACTAAATCAACAAATGTACCACCAGGAATATATATTAAAGATGCCGTTTGATATGGAATGTTAACTCTGACTATTTTTTTCACTTTTAAATTTCAAACAAAGCTTTTTCAATATTGTCTTTATTTTTGACAATTATTTAATACATTTGTTGTTCTTATCGAAAAATAACACCAGTTATTAAATCTTCAATCAAAGATAATGTATTCGTATGCCCTCTATCATAGTGAACAGCCTAATTTCTTATTAAACAAGAAATTTCTGTAATTCCTAGAAAATTATTTTTCTCTTGCATTAGAAACTATTGATTTGATATTTTTTAATAAATTGCTATATTTAATTAATAAACCTTATTTTTTTGAGTAACTAATTTTTACTCAAATAGATTTTGAGAATACTCACACTTCCTTAACCTTCAATTATTTAGGTTTTTAGATTAATGCTAATAATTGTTTTTAATGTATATTCTAATGGTATCAGAATTCTATAATTTGAGTCGGGGTTCCTATCCAATCCTTATCGGAGGGTTGGGCAAGTGATTATGATGACATTTTGATTAATAGACTCTAAAGGGAACCATATTCGAGTTTTAGGAGATGCATCTGAACAGCATAACCCTTAACAGATGATGATGTTGAATATTTGTCAGTAGTTGTCAAATAAATAATTTAAACATGCTAGATTAGGAGAAGATATTTTAAGGTTAGAGGGCAGTATTTGAATAATCGAAAATAGTGAACATATCTTTTAAGAGTCTAAAAAGATATCTTGTTGATTTATGGTTTTGTAAGGATAGGAAAATCTTAATAATCCATAATTTTATCTGACTTAAATCCAAATCAAGATGAGAAGCAAATACACTTGCTTTCGATAATTCTGATTTAAAGAACAAGATAAAGAAAAAATGAGATAAAATAGATTTAGAATTTTTTGAATTCAAAATCAAAAATCGATTTATTTTTACACATAATGAGAAATAAACAGAAAAAAAAAATAAAACCTTAGTTTGTTGATAATTAAATTGGTCAGAACATAAATTATTATACAAAATAATTAAACTAAAGAGAGTTGATAATCAGTAATAACCCATACTGGATGGGAAAAAAAGCAAAAAAAATACAAAAGCTTTCACAAATTGACTCAAAATATTATTTAAATAAAAAAAGAACAAAATAGTATCAAGATTGAGATATAAGGAGCTTTGAAAACAAAAGAGGTGTAATAAACAGAATGCAAATCATTTTTGAATTGAATAAGTCATAAAAGGGGGATGTGTATTTTAAATAGGAGAATATGGCTATTTCTTTGATTTTAAACATTCAAGCAAATATAAGATTGACTGTGAATTAAAAAAATTAGATGAAAAAATTAGAATAAATTAACATAGTCCATATTAATGAAAAAAAATATAATAATTTTTGTTTCAGAGAATATTTAACTGAATAAAATGCTCCTCAGAATGCCACTCTAGAAGATCTGAGGAGATTATGATCTGAAGTAACTTAAAAAAATGATAAAATGATACTTTGCAACTTCATTGAAGAAGACATTAATAATTCACTTCATTTAAATAAATGGGTTTTGTTAGTAGATGCGACCATAAGAATACATCACTTATATATTATTGTTTCTAAAAAAAAATAGTAAGAAGAAAAATCCTACATGATATGTCGAATTCATACAATTCAATTTGTCCTTTATTTTTGTATAAATCAAGAATGCAAATTGAATATTGGATATATCGGTATTGTAATTAGTTGGGATATATATGGAGAAAATGTAACACCCATCAGAAAGTAAATAGCTTGTTCTCATAAGATAGACCATCACTGGGGTCTCTCATAAAGGTGGGTTGAGAAGATTGAAATAAAACTTTACTATATATAAGAAACTTAGAAATAATTAGATCGAAAACTATCCAGCTAGTTTGGTAGAAAAATTTATAATAAAGCACATAAAAAATACTAACTAAAGAGGTGAATATATATGATATATATTGAATCGCTTTTTGCATATAGCGGCCGATTGGAAACAACAAAGTTTATTTTAAATAGACTGATAATTAAACTACAAACTTAAGTTAATTCATCAACAAAATATAAAACTAGAAAATGGACTAAAATTTGAAAGATGAGATTCATGATTTTTTCATTTTATTATCTTATGTATTCTTTGGACATCAGAAATAATAGTTTAGGAAGATTCAATCAAATACGATCCTTCTTACTCCATTTCTGAATTATCTCTGAACTAATGTCTTCTGAATATTTCTGTCTACACCTAATTTCTTAAAATCCTTTTCTTTAAATCAAATCCTAATCTCTAATTAGTTGATCAATTATCTTCTTCGGAAAACATTTGTTCAGACCAAGTACTCTTCTGAAAGAATTTCACTTTATTATTTACCAATACAGGATAGTTGATTCATTTTAGAGTCATATTGTAAGAAAGTAATATTTAATAATTGGGAGAATATAGAATCATATTTTTTGTAATAATCCTGAAGGGCAACATTCTTTACACTTGCATTTGAGTTTTCAAATTCAACCTTATTGTAATCCAGATTCCAAGACATTTAAATTTATCTACTTTATTAACCCATTTTTCTAATCATGAATTTCTTAATATGACATTACTTAACTCTACTAAAATTTTCTTCAATCTATGCTCTGTGGCTTATTTTATAAATATCTCAGTACATATTTACTCTTTAGTGTTAGGAAGAGTCCTTTATTCCTAGGCAGCAAACAAATCTTACCTACTTGGGGTTGATAGAATTATTGGTTATCTCCTTAAAGGTCGGTATGAAGCTCGATTCTATATAAGTTACAAGCCAACTCTATTATCATAATTGGTCTCAGATCGCTTATATAGACTATTTTTTGGGCAACCTATTAAAAGGGATCATCTTTGGGGCTAAACAGTAATTATTATTTTTCAAATCCCAATATCATATCTAATTCTTCATTTTCCATTAATTGTCTTGCCATTATCAACTATTGTTGTTAATTGAATAAAATCAAATGATATAATTTTATTCTATCATTAGATATAATTTTCATTGTTCTTTCAGTATTTCTTCAATCCTTATGTCATTTAATTTACTTGTCCCTTCATTGACTATGTCATGTGTTAATCTTACAAATTTCTTCCATGGTCTCTTTAGTATTCCTCTTCTGTTATTACCTTTCTAAATTTTTTTCATTCTTTTAATGCATTTAAGAATTATGATTTTGTATCTCATTATAAATTCTTCTCCTTTATCTAAGACATTTATAATTCAAATTTTCATTTCTCTTTTAATTCTTATCTAATGCTGGATATCACGTGCCAATCCTCTTCTGATTTGATCCTTGTCTTCTTAGGTTTTAATTCTGATATCATTCCTTTTTATATACTAGAATTCAGTTTTTATTTTCTGATACCCCCCTGCACAATTAAAAATTCATTTTCAAATTGTGTTAAAAGTTTTTTGACTGTTTCATAGTAGAACCTGAAGAGGTTATAGTTCAATTTCCCTGTCTAAGATTAATTAATATATCTGAAGATTCACCTAGATTGCAGTGGATTTAGCACAAGTGGTTCGTATTTCCAAATCAAAGCTTTTTAAGACATTAAGTAATACACTTATCCTTTAGAGATTATTTGATCCTATTATTTTAATATCACTTGATAACACATTAGTACGAATTGAAATAGTTTTATACAACAATAATGTAATTTACCCAATCATAGTAAATGTTCTTGCTTACATTCAATTTGGGTCACCACGTATTCAAGGCTCATATTTACCCTCTTCTTCATGCAGGATTATAATTAGTTCACTCATAAAGTGTTGTAATATTTGGTTGCCTAATACTGTCGCAACTACATTAGTTTCTGAATATAATCAGATTCTTACATTGGGGTCAGGCGAATAGAATAAAAAATTCGTTTAGAAGTATTGCACAAGATTCTAATTCGATTTGTCCTATCATAATTGACTTAGCATTGATTGTTTTAGATTAGCCTAACTTTCTTTTTCACTCTAAATTTCACTCGTGATAAATTGATTTAGAATCGATAAAGCTTTTTTTTTGAGTAAATATTCATAAATCTTAAGTGGCATCAATATAAAATGAAAAATTACATGTAATGCAATAGACTATACTACTGGTTGTACAAGAAGAATTGGTCACAGTATGTCAACCTGCTCAGTTGTGGAATGATCTTAATGTCTTCTCCATGAGAGGAAGGTCAAACTAAATGTAATTAACTTCAACAACAAAATTCCTACATTATTCTTATATTGTTTATCAGCACAAGTAGCAGATCTCAAGTTAATGAACTATCTCCTTCAGATTAGCCTTCATTGCACTTTAAGCATTATAATTTGCATGCACAATTCAAACCACTTACTTAGAATTACATAGGAAGGGCCTGAGTTTCTATTGTCTGATCTAAAAACTTATATCAGGTTTTGAAATATTCAGGATCACATTTACAGTTCAATATGAACTTGAATCAGTGCAAAAATGGTTGATAATAATGACACCATCATCAAAATCAAATGGTACTTAAATTTGCTGAACAGTACAAAGTTTTGCACTTTGTATAGTTATAGGCTAAGATTAATATCTGACACATTATCCGAACACTAAAGTAAACATTGAGCACATTTAGTTCAATCATAATGTAAGACTAAGCAGGATATAATGAGATGCAGCATAGAGCATGTGGCTTGAGGTTTGTAACTGTAATTGAATTTTTTACTCTAAATCTAGTTTTAATTTCGTCTACCCAAGGTTTTCAGGTTAAGTTCAAGAAAAATAAACTATTCGCATATATGAAAGTGCATTAATCTTAATTTAGGCATGAATGATATCAAGGATTACTATCAGCTAATTGTGATGTCAAATTACTATTAGAATTAACAGTGACACAAAATCATTATGATACAAACAGCGCATTTTAAGTTGCACAAATTTCCTGTTTTGATAGATTACTTATATATTAAGAAGAACAAACATGTAGAATATTGATCTTGATATCATAATAAGTTTGGCTTTTGTTGATACATAACATAAACACAATTTTTAATAATAAAATGTAGGTCAATTTAATGCATATATAATTGAACAGTTAGCAGATATATTTGGAATAAATGGTTGATGCAGCCAAATATTTCTAAATTAACCACGAAATAACACTAATTTAGATGCGTGAGTTAATTAGAACACAAGCGACATTTCTAAAGGCATACATTAAATTTAGCATAGAGCCTTGTTAAAGTATAAGAATTAAAGGGATGATATAGAGGACCCAAGAGTGCAACAAAAATAAATAGCGCCAAAGAAAATCTGTGAACAAATAATATGAACATTTGACTCAAAGCAGAATTGATGTTCATGATACACAAAAAGAACAGAATTCCTCTTCGTTACTTCACTCATATACAGGATGAATTGCAAGTTTATAATCAGCCAGTTTTAGTACGGCTATCAGGTCCTTAAGGAATTTCCAATCAGGGTTTCAGTATAACATGTAATTAGAGTGTTATAGTTATGTGCCGCTTTGTTTGGCAATATTATTAGGGTTCAAATTATACAAACTGAAATCTGAATGTATAAAATATTAACAAACAAGACTTCATGTTTGCCGATGGAAAAACCTTGCCGATGTTTAAAAGTTGTTCCAGATCGCAAGATAAATTATCAAAAAGGCAATAGAGATTATCAGTTTCTTAATTCAAGGCTTTTCAATAACGTTGGTTCTTATTTTTAGATATTTAAGCACATTTAATTACAATTAACATATTGGGAAGTCATAATATTTCAAATCATATGTTGAAACATTTGAAGTTGCTGCTCACAGTGATATGCTTTAATTCATTTAAGAGAAGAAAAAAACTACACAGTGACTTAGGACCAAGTTGTAGATCCATCACTTGATTCAATCCATCTACCAATCCTGAAAGAACCACCTTCATCATACAACCTACCACCACTATAACGTTTCTTTTACAACAAAATACATCTATTTAAATTCCTGATCAAAGTCCCCTCTAAATAAAATGTACAATCTGCTAACCTTTTTACCATTCTTGTATTCGCCATTATAAATAATTTGAGATAAATCATAAAAGTCATCGCTTAATTCAATCCATTTTCCAATTTATTTTGAATCCTCTCCATCATACTACCCACCTCCACTAAAGATAAGATTATTCGAAATTATTTACATTTATTAAGTTTTTTTTGACTTCCTATCCTTATAAGAAATATTCCATCGACCAATTTTTACACCATTTTTATATTCAACTTCATAAATTACTTAAGAATCAACATAAAACCCATCACTTTATTCAGTCCATCTTCCAACCTTAAGCTAACCTCCTTCAGCATATAATCCACCACCACTTAAAAAATAATAATATATAATCAATAATTTTACACCTAATTTTCTAAAAAGAAAATCTATCAATTTCCAACTTTTTTTCCGTTTTTATATTTTCCCTTATAAGTGACTTGAGATAAGTCATAAAACCCATTATTTAACTCAATCCATTTTCCTATTTTGAATTGGGCTTAGTTTATTCTCAAAGTGTTACATTTATTAAAATTATTCCTTCCCTTTCTTCCGATACAAGATGTCCTATCTGCCAATCTTTTATCCATTTTTATATATAAGCCACAATCAATTACTTAGGAAAAATCCCAATATCCTTAGCTCAACTAAATCCATAATCCATCCCTTACTCCTAACTAATTATATTATCCTCCTCAACATTAAATAAGTTATAAATTTCTTATCTACTTAAACATACTTCCATATCCCTTACATTTAGTCAACAACATAATTTCCCCTCTTCATAAATTTTGACCTTTCTCATGTTTAGGGCAATAAACATTGCTCCCAATAATTCTAATTTATTTCTTTCCATTATCCTTATTTTTTTCCTTCATTTGAGTAGTTATCTATTTACCAGTTTTTAAATTATGTTATTCATATTATCCAATCCATCACAATTTTTTTTATTTATTCTAAACTTGTCAGAAGATAAGGCTTGTTTGATGAGCAAACATGATTATCACTAATATTCAAAAATGCATAAACATCCTCAAATAATTTCCTTCCAATATGTATCCAATCTCTTTTTCTTCAATTTAAATGTCATGCAATTGATGACTAAAGAATATAAGTAATAAATTGTTATAACATGACTGAAATTAAAGAAAAACTTTTTAACACAAAAAATGTAAAACATTATCAGGATATGTGTCTATAACAAGCATTAGTTTTAAAGGAAAAGTAGATTTTTATCTCAAAGTATTTTCAAATTGATATTTAGATTTTATAATTAAAAAATACAACCTCTGTGACTGTAGATATTTTCGGTAATTATGAAAACGATACCTAATTGGGATATCAAATCATTTTAGGAGTAGATGGATCCTTAAAAAATTAAATGATTCCTACTTCTCTGATAAATTTACAAGCGAAAATTACAAACTTGAATCCTATTATTCTCTTGCTAATTGCTTTTATGGATTTAACTTTATCAATACCGAAAATTTTGATTTTTTGAATTCAATACAAGAGAANTAAGATTATTCGAAATTATTTACATTTATTAAGTTTTTTTTGACTTCCTATCCTTATAAGAAATATTCCATCGACCAATTTTTACACCATTTTTATATTCAACTTCATAAATTACTTAAGAATCAACATAAAACCCATCACTTTATTCAGTCCATCTTCCAACCTTAAGCTAACCTCCTTCAGCATATAATCCACCACCACTTAAAAAATAATAATATATAATCAATAATTTTACACCTAATTTTCTAAAAAGAAAATCTATCAATTTCCAACTTTTTTTCCGTTTTTATATTTTCCCTTATAAGTGACTTGAGATAAGTCATAAAACCCATTATTTAACTCAATCCATTTTCCTATTTTGAATTGGGCTTAGTTTATTCTCAAAGTGTTACATTTATTAAAATTATTCCTTCCCTTTCTTCCGATACAAGATGTCCTATCTGCCAATCTTTTATCCATTTTTATATATAAGCCACAATCAATTACTTAGGAAAAATCCCAATATCCTTAGCTCAACTAAATCCATAATCCATCCCTTACTCCTAACTAATTATATTATCCTCCTCAACATTAAATAAGTTATAAATTTCTTATCTACTTAAACATACTTCCATATCCCTTACATTTAGTCAACAACATAATTTCCCCTCTTCATAAATTTTGACCTTTCTCATGTTTAGGGCAATAAACATTGCTCCCAATAATTCTAATTTATTTCTTTCCATTATCCTTATTTTTTTCCTTCATTTGAGTAGTTATCTATTTACCAGTTTTTAAATTATGTTATTCATATTATCCAATCCATCACAATTTTTTTTATTTATTCTAAACTTGTCAGAAGATAAGGCTTGTTTGATGAGCAAACATGATTATCACTAATATTCAAAAATGCATAAACATCCTCAAATAATTTCCTTCCAATATGTATCCAATCTCTTTTTCTTCAATTTAAATGTCATGCAATTGATGACTAAAGAATATAAGTAATAAATTGTTATAACATGACTGAAATTAAAGAAAAACTTTTTAACACAAAAAATGTAAAACATTATCAGGATATGTGTCTATAACAAGCATTAGTTTTAAAGGAAAAGTAGATTTTTATCTCAAAGTATTTTCAAATTGATATTTAGATTTTATAATTAAAAAATACAACCTCTGTGACTGTAGATATTTTCGGTAATTATGAAAACGATACCTAATTGGGATATCAAATCATTTTAGGAGTAGATGGATCCTTAAAAAATTAAATGATTCCTACTTCTCTGATAAATTTACAAGCGAAAATTACAAACTTGAATCCTATTATTCTCTTGCTAATTGCTTTTATGGATTTAACTTTATCAATACCGAAAATTTTGATTTTTTGAATTCAATACAAGAGAATCAAACAAATAATTCATTCAGATACAGCATTCAACCAAGTATTAATAATAGATAATATAATTTAGGAGGAGGTGGAAGCTATAATAGTATATTTTTAATAGTGTAATAAATTTAAACAACTTACTCGCCCCTTTAATTTTAGAAACTATCAATCAAATAATTTGAATTTGTTCCTTAGAAGGAAGCACATATTATTATATCTTATTAATAAGGAGATTATATTTTTTCAAATGTTGGACTACATCCTATATTCGTTGATAAGGAATTTGATAAAATTTAAATGTTGACATAAATAAAATGTGAAATTTATCAAACAATCAGAAGCACCTTCAATAAATTTAAGAAATCAGTAATACAAAAGTCATTAACTTTAATTCATAGGTGTGACCCAAACATAAAATCAAATCAACTTTAAATTGGTTTTAAAAATACTGATAAGTCCTAATTGGAATTAGTATTTAATATTTTAGAGATGAGTCAATATGTGTCACAAATAATCTATAATTAAGTAAAAGAAGAACATATATTTTCAACACAATTGAAATTTTGTTTGACTCAGTCAATTACTGAAATATTATTTAATTGAATAATCAAACCTATTGTTTTATAATAAGTTGATTTCTAATTAATTACAATATTTCTTAGAATTAAGATATACATTTGCAAGTCCAGATTGACACATTCAGTATTTTACTTTTCATAGATTAGCTTAATCATAGTATTTGATTTTGTTGATCAAATTAATAGTCAACTTTTATTTATTTGATTGAAAAAAATTACATTAGTTAATTAAAATCCATTAATTGGTTAAATCTTGTAAATTCCCTTCAAAATTTGAAAGAGAATTGATAACATTGGGTAATTTCGAAAATAATTGAAATATATCACTAATTTTAATGCTAATATAAAAAAAAAAGTCCTTATATATGCTTTGAGATAGTAGGATATCTACTTTATTGCTACAAATGGAAAATAAATTCATTAATAAATCCATTATAAGAAGGTATAAAGCGTGAGATAGGAGGAGGAGATGAAAAAGGAGATCTTCAATAGGAACTGGGAAAGATAGTTTGGTAAGATTATGGAATATAGGTTCAGAATATGAATTTATGAGTGCTTTCCTTATTGGTACAGAAAATTCCACAGTCAGTAATATGGCATTTTAAGAATATAAAAACGATGAGTAATCATAAATAAATATGGAATATGAATACGTTCCTGAGAATTCCAAAATTGAATTCGGAGTAAAATTTCTGAAATCTTTTGGATAATGGATAAATCAGGTAATTTAAAGTCTGTATTTGCATGGCTCCAAACTATAATCTGATTTTAACTATTATATATTTATACTTAATTCAATTTTTCAATAGTGTTATCATAAAACATATAGAAAAATTGCTATTATTTGAATTAATTCATGAATTTGATCATCCCTCTTTGAGAGCTGTTGAATTACCAAATTATTCCCTCTAATCATATTGGTTAATAATAGAATCACTTATTTTAGTTTTTTCGAAAAACGTTTCTTTGTAAAATTGGCAATCTGATGTTTAAAGTTAATTATAAAGGTTAAGATACGATTTGAATTTAAAAAAGAATAGAATAGCTATCTACAAATCTCATTATAATCAACTCAAGAGTTTAAAGATATCAATGGGAATTTGATATCGAAACTAATTTTAACTAATACTGTAAAACTAAATAATACTCAGTACTCTAAACTAGACGGAAATCATTATCCATTAGCATTTTTCTGCGATACATCGACAGAATGATACATTAAGTCTTAAGGAATAAATCAGTAAATTATAAGAAGCTTTCTTTGTACTTGGAAAGATGAAGTATTAACTTCTGCTCGAGGTATGTATGCTGCAGGAAAGATCTAGCATATTAAGGATTATATTTCATTCGAAATAAATAGAAACGATGGAATAATTAGATCAATTTTTGATTACAAGTTTGATAGGTGGAGGAACTGGGGGTTTGGATGCTTTACTCGGGTTATCATCTCTTTTTCCATAGGGAATTTGGACCTAAAGCAAAATAAAATGGATTTATAATTTTCCCATCTCAGTGATATTGAATAATGTTGTGGGAGTTTATAATTCAGGTTACAGCATTGCAATTTTTGAAAATTCACCAATTAACAATGTTATCGATGATCAATTAGAATTAGATTTTGTTGATTATAGACATTTAAATAATTTTGTTGCTCAAGCAATTAATTCATATACTAGATTAAGAAGATTTAATTCTTGTGATAACTCCAAGTTTATTTCACATGTGTTTCCTTATCCTCGTATACATTTTTTACTTCCATCGTATGACGAAATGACTTTGATAATGATTACACTCGAACAGAATTATAGCAAACATAATTCATTCAATATCTAACTAAAAAAGAGTAATTTTTCTATCAATGTCCTCTTAATCCTTGTCATAGATCTACAGCCTTATTATTTAGATAAAAATAATTGACCTCGTTTTAGTAAAATTATCCTAGATCTCATAAAATTTCTTCTCATAACATTGAGATATCATTACAATTATATATGAGTATATATCTACTAATTTACCTAACTTAATATGCAACAACTCTTCATAGCCAATTCACTCAGAGATACAATTTGGTATTTTATTTTTTCCTCTTCGACGATTTCAAAAATTTAATGTATTAATGATATCTCAAGCAATTTCATAACAAAAGACAAGGATCAATTATTATTCAATAGCATGTCTTAAGTAAGTTATTGAGTTTTAATACTATTTTCTAATAACTGCACTATTGTTTATGGATTGAATATTTAGAATATTTAAATATTGTACAACTTTGAGACTAAATATCACATTTTATAATATATTCTAATTATTTTTATCCAGTTTTGAATTGATTTTATTCAATTTTATATAATTTATAATCCAATATCGCTTAGTCATTTAAATTTACCTTTTCCATTTTTATTTATATTTATTAGATATATGGAACCTAATCCCCCAAAGGTCATCCTATTACCCAAAATGCTCTTAAATCACTCATGTTTACTTTAGGCTAGTTTTTCGAAGTATCAGGGGATGATTGTGACGAATAAAAAACATTAGTAGCTTTTGCTTATATTTTTCAATTATAGATAGTGTCATAGCTATATCCAGATGTATATGAGCTATTAGATACAAAAGTGACAGTTGAAGTACCTTTTTTAAGTATGACAAATGTTATAATATTACCCAATGACAATTGTGTGCTTTTTTATGATTAACTCTTCTTCATAATTTATTATTATTTCGCATAGTGGTACTGAAAGATTGTATATTAAGTAGTAAAATCATCACCCCAATCTTGAAACAAGAATTAATCTTGATCTTGATAGTCTGGTCATAATATAACAGGTTGAAAGATTTGTAATTTCCATTATAAAAATGCTATCCAAACACAGAATTAAGATCTGAGGATTTCTGAAGATAAGCAATATTCCAATGATAATCTCAATAAGTTAACCAACTTCATATTTACGTTATCCAAGTATGTTATTAATAACATGTAAACATGAGCAAGTATCATTTTTTGATAAATACAAAATATAATTACTAAATTATTAAATTATTAAATATAGGGACATTTAGATTCACATATAGTTGAACAGGGCTATGGAAGTAGATAAATTATACCAACAAGTACTCAAAGCTGGTTTACTGGGGTTATGAAAATTAGAACCATAAAGGGGAGGATTAATAGGACCCTCATATGCAATAGAAATAAGTAGTGTCTTTAGAATAGAATATGTAAAGAACTATATGAAAATTGACTCCGAGCAGAAGGGATCATCGATTTAAATATTATCCACAAAAATGAACAGAACACCTCATTAATAAATAGCCAATCAACAGGAGGATTGCAAGTTCATGAACTGTCTGTTACAGTTAGCTTTAAAATGATAATGGACATATAATTGTATTTCCAATCTAAGTTTAAGCATAACAGATGATAAGCGCGCTAGAATTTTTTACATAATTTGTAATGCAATTCCTGAAAACTCTCATGAACCACCGGAATCTGCAAAGATTAAACAAAACTCTCTAGAAATATTTAAATAGATAGATAAATCGGCATCGCAATATTAGAACTTCCTCCAGTTGATAACCGCTCATAAATAAGTGGGCTAATTAATATTAGCACACAGTAATTCTCTAAAAAACAAGAATAAATAAAGAATTAGATGGTTATTACATTAATAACCTCGCTACCTCGATGCTATTATTGCGCTTGCCCAAACAAAATAGAGTCATCAGATCTTACAGGCTTGCTCAACTAAAATTCATTAACTGTTATGAGCATATAATTCAATTAGCAAGCTAGCAAATATAAATCAAATTTAGGGAAACGCGAGGAGATTTATTATATTCAGTATAAATGCATCATTTCAAAGATCACTCCATTCCAGTTTAGCAACCAAAACTTATTGTGCATTTCTTCAGTCCATGCAAAAGTATTTCATTTCCAAACTGACCTAGAGAGGCAAGACCTGAGTGGAGTGATATAAATTAATAATAAACTGCAATGTTTATCACACCTCAGCTTATTAAAAGAGAAAGGCAGCACTTTAAGCAGAAATTGCATAAGAGATCCAACAATTTTTCATAATTTTAATCAAATGTCAGCTAATACAAATATTATAATACGATTAAAGAGAATCCTTTTAATTTGACTAAAATTGGCACTTGTAATTAAGGAACAAACGGCAAACCTATATGTAATCGACCTTAACAAAATAGTTCATACCGTTATTTGCACTCAATTAACATGTTGACCAAGTGTACCGAGAATTACAACTAGGGATGCCTAATTAAAAAATCCACTTATGCATCAGCCAATTCTAATATAAAGGTAATATCCAAAACAGTCAAATAGCATTCATTTGAGTTCAAGTCTAAAACAACAGAAATATGAACTACGCAAAATATTCTTGAAGGAAGGTTTATCGTGCCTTACAAGCATGTTGAATTTAATTAATAAATCATGATGTCTAATTTGCTGTGTAATTAGTAAAAACATTATGTCAATTTTTAGGTTCAAAACCTAATGCGCACAGTAGCGAAAGCCTAAATAATCACAACCAGCCTAAGGTGTATTACTTTAATTCGATCTAACATGAAAAATAAAATTTCTAACACAGGGGAAGAAATTTCTACCAAACATGATGTGAAAATGCGTTACCAAGAAGTATTTCTTTTCATGAGAGCAAGGAGCAATAAATTTAAGATTACTAAAATGGTTTAATTAGCAATTGAGTGGCTCTAATATTAATCAAATGAGTTGAGCTCGAGAAAATTTATGAATGAATAGATTAATAGCTAGCTGAGAACAAAATTTACCAGTAATCAATGATGCCCAACAAATATCTCTCCGTGTTTGCTAATACCAATAAGAGTTGAACAAATGNGAATCTGCAAAGATTAAACAAAACTCTCTAGAAATATTTAAATAGATAGATAAATCGGCATCGCAATATTAGAACTTCCTCCAGTTGATAACCGCTCATAAATAAGTGGGCTAATTAATATTAGCACACAGTAATTCTCTAAAAAACAAGAATAAATAAAGAATTAGATGGTTATTACATTAATAACCTCGCTACCTCGATGCTATTATTGCGCTTGCCCAAACAAAATAGAGTCATCAGATCTTACAGGCTTGCTCAACTAAAATTCATTAACTGTTATGAGCATATAATTCAATTAGCAAGCTAGCAAATATAAATCAAATTTAGGGAAACGCGAGGAGATTTATTATATTCAGTATAAATGCATCATTTCAAAGATCACTCCATTCCAGTTTAGCAACCAAAACTTATTGTGCATTTCTTCAGTCCATGCAAAAGTATTTCATTTCCAAACTGACCTAGAGAGGCAAGACCTGAGTGGAGTGATATAAATTAATAATAAACTGCAATGTTTATCACACCTCAGCTTATTAAAAGAGAAAGGCAGCACTTTAAGCAGAAATTGCATAAGAGATCCAACAATTTTTCATAATTTTAATCAAATGTCAGCTAATACAAATATTATAATACGATTAAAGAGAATCCTTTTAATTTGACTAAAATTGGCACTTGTAATTAAGGAACAAACGGCAAACCTATATGTAATCGACCTTAACAAAATAGTTCATACCGTTATTTGCACTCAATTAACATGTTGACCAAGTGTACCGAGAATTACAACTAGGGATGCCTAATTAAAAAATCCACTTATGCATCAGCCAATTCTAATATAAAGGTAATATCCAAAACAGTCAAATAGCATTCATTTGAGTTCAAGTCTAAAACAACAGAAATATGAACTACGCAAAATATTCTTGAAGGAAGGTTTATCGTGCCTTACAAGCATGTTGAATTTAATTAATAAATCATGATGTCTAATTTGCTGTGTAATTAGTAAAAACATTATGTCAATTTTTAGGTTCAAAACCTAATGCGCACAGTAGCGAAAGCCTAAATAATCACAACCAGCCTAAGGTGTATTACTTTAATTCGATCTAACATGAAAAATAAAATTTCTAACACAGGGGAAGAAATTTCTACCAAACATGATGTGAAAATGCGTTACCAAGAAGTATTTCTTTTCATGAGAGCAAGGAGCAATAAATTTAAGATTACTAAAATGGTTTAATTAGCAATTGAGTGGCTCTAATATTAATCAAATGAGTTGAGCTCGAGAAAATTTATGAATGAATAGATTAATAGCTAGCTGAGAACAAAATTTACCAGTAATCAATGATGCCCAACAAATATCTCTCCGTGTTTGCTAATACCAATAAGAGTTGAACAAATGGTAACTTAATTGCTAGATTAAAAAAAAAACAGTAAACTCAACGTTAGAAAGCTTGGGAATATGCTTAAATAGAGGATCTGCCATTTAGAAAATTAATTGTAATTATGATTCAATTCACATCAACTTATTAAGCCACTCTATTGCACACAAAAGTTGTCATGCAAGTTAGAAATAGAAACCAATTCCTATTTAATAATTGGACAAACATGATTGCTACTACTAAAATATCCCTTAACTTACTATGAAAAATTATAATTGTTAGAGCAATTAGCGCAGCAGAGTAAACATATTGAACTCGAGTAATCGCAATGAATTCAGAGAAAACCTTTGTAATCACAACAATATATATTTTACATATTATTGTGATTATTAAAGTTCAGTCCACAAATATTTATAACTTAAATATTGCGTGAGCAAAAAATTATAGTTTATCTTCAGCATAAAATGTATGCATTGAAGTAGACAGTTGGTATATTGATATTATATAATTGCTCATCACTAGACGAGCAACTATGAATCATAACAGATGATACAACACTATCTCTAAAATAATAATAATTTACCCTTCAAGGCAGGCGCTACTAGATAGATTTTGTCTCATTATCCATTACACTCAATAAATGGACAACATCAGGAGAGAAACAATGTTC